CATAAGTATGTGACGTATATTTAGTACTATTGATTCAACGTCGTCTGACTAAACGAGCAGTTTAAAAGAAACTGAGTGGACGTTTGGTTCACAGATTCAGATTTATGATTTAGAATTATTTTTGATGTACGTGTATTTTTTGTGAGAAAAAATACTGTAACGAATCACGAACCATAGCACGAATCCTCGTACCAAACACTTTATTAACTTTGAATCTAACTAAACCAAGTGATAATTTTGAAAGGCCTACGCGGGGTAGCAGACCTGCTTTGAGAAGAAGGTCCAAAGTTGGAATCATCCCACTAAAACGATCGGAAGTGTATATGTTGTGAGTGTCTTAGGATTATCTAATTACGTCGCCCTCTTTTACGTGCAGGTTGCTAGTGCAACAGCAACATTTGTGATGACATTTTCATCATCCTTATCTGTGGTGGAGTTCTACCTCCTCAAGAGGTTCCCTATGCCTTTCGGTATGATTTAATTAATTGTAAATCATCATTAGCAGGGCATGATTAAGCCCACATAATAACATGTTCATAACATCTTCTTTTTCTACACAATGTCTTGCAGCTTTATACCTCACCGGAGTGTCCGTCTTGGCTGGATTCTGGGGACAGTATTTTGTGAGAAAACTCATCACAATCGTTGGGAAAGCATCCATAATTGTGTTCATTCTTTCTGGCGTCATCTTTGCTAGTGCTCTCACAATGGGTAAGAAAAAACAAATCTCTCATAACTAAAAGTATTTCACCTTTTCTTTGCATTTTATTACGTGGGACAAACAAATTTTTTTTTTTTTTTATCTTTTTTTTTTATTTCTTTAAAAAAAATTTTGCAGGTGTGATTGGAATAGAGACCAGCATCCGCATGATAAGCAACCATGAATTCATGGGGTTCTTAGGCTTCTGTGGCAGTAACTGATTTTGGGCACTACAAGAAAATGCCAAAGAGAAAATTGGCAAGAAAATCTTTACAAATTCCTCAAGTGAATATTGATTACTTGGAAAGTGTTGGCCAATACCTTGTTGACCAATACTTTGATGTAGTACTATTGTTGTGAAGAAATAAGGATGTTTGAAACGTGTGTTTTTTCTTTTAGCTAAAAGGTTTGGTAATTCAATGTTAGCTCCTCGCTAACATTAATCTCCAAACCAATCAATAAGTGTAATGAAATTGAAACATATATAGTGTGTTGTGTATTGTATTATGGTTTGGTAGTACAACGTTAGCTTCTCGCTAACATGATCTCCAAACCCATCAATCATTTTCTTCAATAAAACCATCTAGATTTTTCTTTCATTGTATATTCTGAAAAAATATTTTGTGGGCACCATTTATTTTTGTGACTTTTTTGTCATCATATTAGATTTTTCAGTATAAATGTCTTGGACAGAGAACATGTGGGGAAGCCATGGCAAGTTGGCCTCTGTGGACCTTACAAAACCTTGTGGAGGAAATTGGAGGACAATAATACGTTTTGGACAGACCAAACAGGAGGAAGATTGCAATACGACTCTTTTTTATTATCTATATTCTATATGCACGTTCTTTAGCATATGTTTTAGGCTTGAAAAGTGAATTGTTTCTGTTCCAAATAATACTTGCACAAACTATTTCAAAATTCCAAGTCAACTTTTTGTCGTGAAACTTTTACTAAAAATAAATTAAGTGAATTTGTACATGTTGTTGGTTTGATCATTTATCCACCTGCCTGACACAGACAAAATCACATACAGATAATGTGTACTCACAAGACTTTGAGCAGCATCAATCAAAAGTAGTCAAGTAAGTAAACCAGGACATAAGTTTTGACGACAGGAAAAAAAGTAATTGCCATGGTTTTACAGAGGTCTATTATTTATGATTTGTCATGATTTTTCAGTTTTTTTTTTTTTTCTCTCCTTTTTGACTAGACCGTCGTGATCCATTTTAATTAGGCACAATGTGTCGTTTTTAGTAAGGCTCGTTATTATTCGTGCTGTGCTCGGAGCAGTCCACAAATTAACGTGTCATGCCATGTTAAATGCAAGCCAAGCCACATCATCCTCCCATTCTTATTGTGTCCACTTAGTCCGTTTGACAGGGGTTTCGTTTATTTCACCGATTTAAATTTTATTACAGTAAAAAATTTTCATAAATAGTTAAATTTAACTTTTTTATTACAGTAAAAAACTCTCACATAAAATCACATTTAAACTCAAATTAAAAACTCAAATCAGCGAACTAAACGGAACTTATTTTGACCAAAAGGCAATCATTTTTGTGATAGGCTAAATTTTGTTACTGAGTGAAATATTTTTTCTAAATTTTCAGTACCTCATCATACATACCCTTTTGTTAAAGGCTCGAACATTTATCTTGCTCATGTACATGATGCAATTTTAGTGTCTTTTATGGGGACAATCACCAAGACAACGCATGTGACTAAGGTTCCAATAATATCTTTTTTTTTAAGTTTTTCCTTTGGCATTTTTCAAAATTTCTTTTCTTTTCTTTTGTGTGCACTTTTTTTTTTTTTTTTTAATTGGCTTGAACGGCAAGGAGTTCAGTTCTCTCACATGGGGGACCAAGAGATGAACGTTTTATATATGCACTTGTTTATATTTTGTTTCAACTTTTTATTGTTTGTTTTTAGTCTTTTAGATCATAACCAAGGAACCAAAATTTTCATTTTATTAGTTGTGGCATCATGATCTCACTGTGAAAGCCGTGGAGAGTTTGAACTTCTCAAGTTGTTTGTTAGTTTTTCATACCTCACTTCTCTAATATGCCCACAACCAATATTGGAGATTTAGGCAACATATCAAAACCATAAAAAGGTCTTGTGTTCTTGCACTTGCACAAACTTAATTCGTGAAATTCGTGTTGAAACAATTCGTGACGACTTGCATGTTCCTAGGCAAAATTATTCGAGCGGAAAACGTCTACTTTTGACGAATGAAGTGATGTTTTTAAAAATTATAAATATTGTAATTTTGATTTTCTTTTAAAAAAAAAAACTTTAGACGCGTTT